TTTTATAAAATATTTATTTTTTTTTTTTGAGATAAAAAATACTTAACTATATTTTGTTTTAGCAACATTTATATTTCTTTACTTTTATTCTTTATAGAATTTAAACATAAAAAATGGTTAGAAAACTTGGACCGAGACTTCACCGAATAGGTTCCTTATACCCTATGGAATATGTAGTTAAAAACAATTCGGTGCAAGAAAATTTGTTTTGTCTTCAGTCCGAAACAATATCCTCTACAGGTAGTAACCTTTCAACCGTTCCTAACTCTCCTTCCGATTCGGCAACTATTGTTGGTTCACCTATATCAACTAGAGCTAGTTCCCCTTTTGAAATAGAATTTAACGATACAAAATCACAAACAACAACAACCACGGATTATTTTTCTGAGTTCACAACACTATTTTCGAAGTCTTCCCCAACAAGTACTTTATCGGAATCATTAAATAGTTCAATAACGACTCCAGATTATTATTATTCAACCAATCCTAACTTGTCAACGCCGTGTAATAACAAGTATAATTTATCATCTGTTGGTTCTCAAAAGACAAATAAAAGGAAATCATCCGCAAAGAAAGATACACATCAATTGCAATATGAGCAAATTATTGAGTTTAATGACAAAATTAAACCTATTAAGCCGAACGATGTGATATCTGAAGAACCAATTACGAATTCCGGAATGGTTTCAAATGTTAAATCAGAATATACATTTGTAGAAGAAAGTTTCGGTTTAATGAATTCTTCAATATATATGCAGGTAGGATATGATTATATTTATAATTGGTTCGATTTACGTATATAATAATCATTTCTAACCTTCCTAATTGAATTTACTAGGAAAATCCGGGTCAAACAATTGGGGAAACTAATTTTTGGGAAATGCCACAATATTTATCGTATAATAGTCATTATAATTTACCGAATGGGCCACTCAAGCATGGAAGATCAGGCGATGTATTTTTGACGGATTGGAATGACCTAGATTCCGTGTTAGATCCTTAGTTTTATTTTTTTTTTAAAAAAAAAAAGAGAAAAAAAAATTGCAATAAATTACAGCTATGACATTTGTTCTTTCTTTCTACATTTTTATTTAAAGAAACTAGATAATTCTTTAAATCCTTTTAGATGGTCAGCCAACGGATGATCGCATACAACATAAATTGGAATGGAAATATTAATCAACTTTCTTTGTAGATACAATTGAAAATAAGTTGATTAGTATGATTTTGATTGTTTTATTTTTGTAGTATAATTTCTCCGGCTAATCGTTTGTGGAATGTCTATATAATCATATCGAAGAATAGTTGTTGTTCTCGAGACGAGGTTCGCGAAAAAAAAACAAGACATTTTCGCCAAATTTTCACATAAAAATATTTAAATGATTGATGAAATTCTCAATGAACTGATCTTAGATGATTCAGATAGTAAGTCGGGAGTAGATTACGATATATTTATATTATCCTCTCAATTCATTGAAAAGTTACCAACATAGGAATAAAAGTTATATAATTGTATATATAATATAAATATGACGCGTGAAAATTTTAAATAATGGTTTTTTAGTATTTCGTTACACTAATTGTCAAATCAGGGTATTGTTACAACAACAAAACGATTTCAGGGGCTAAATTGGCTAAATTGTACGACCAAAATAGATTCTTGCATTTAGTTAATTAGTTGTTTTTAACAGTTCATTTAAAGACAATGTATATATTGTTTGAAATAAATGAATAATGGTTTTTTTTTCTGTGTATGAAACATAGTCATGTGACTTATACTATATGATGATTCAAAACCCAATTTATTAATTTATTTATCAGTATGGCGGAAGAAATTGCTACAACTGTAGAGTTAAATACTTATTCAGAACCTCCAACAATTATTACAGAGGACGAAGATGGAAATACTTATGTTGAAGTTTCATCAGAAGAAATGAAAAAACTTAATCTTCTTTATCGTAAGGTAGTCAAATTTCAAAAAATCAACATTATTTTATCAATGATTTACAATAACCTTATAATTAAAAAAAAATAAGGGTTTCAGTAATGCTGTAGAAACTCTTGCTCCTGTTGAGCTAAAAGTTAGCGGTGAACTTCCTGCATGGCTAAGTGGGGAACTTTATACGGTAGGTCCCGGTATTTACGATATAAAATACAACCGCATGATTGAAAGTGAAGGAGGAGGATATGAAAGTGCTACAGAAACTTTCTCAATGGGACATTGGTTTGATGCGTACGTTAATTATTTGCCTTATATATATATTTATATTTAATTATTTATATTTAACAAAGTTTTTAACCTGATCATCAGTTTACCATTTGTAAATCGATTTGAGTTGGATGGAAAAAATAATAAAATCAAATATCGATCAAGAATTACTAGTAGAAAATATGAGACGAAAATACGTGATCATCATGGAATCGTTACAAAACACCCTTTTACATTATTCAAGACTCACGTAAAGTAAGTAATATTTGAATTAATATTAATTATGTTTAAATTAAGCTGAATCATATTTAATTATATTACATCTTTAAAAGTCAAACTCCTCTAGCAAAATTATTTGGGCAAAAACGCACAGATAAACCTGAAATGGAACCTTGTTCTATTAATATCAGTACAAATTTTCCATTTTATAAATCTGGTGAAAAACCTAAAGTATTTTGTCAGAATCACGCGAGTCAAGTAAGTTAAATTTAATGGAAATCTTGATTATAAACTATATTTTTTTGTAAATTTATTTCATTTTAACACCTTAATAGGTGGTGGAACTTGAAGCATACGATCTTTCTCCTTCAAGCGTTTATTCTTGGGATGATATAAATCCATTATTTAGAGGTAATCATGCATCTCCTCATCCACATTATGATGAGAATACTGGAGAGTTAATTAATTTTAATATGGAAATTCAAACATTGGGAACAAGATATAATTTCTTTTCCATCTCGGAAAATCATCAAAGTGGAGAATTTATTGCTAGCGTGTCTGCGAAAGCAAGTTATGTTCATAGCTTTGCTGTAACACCGAGATTTATAATTTTGGTATATAATTTATAGTTTATCATATATTTTTTTGTTAGATTTGTTTAAGACTCAATAAATATTTTTATTCTTTGTCATAGGTTGTATTTCCATTCTATGGAAAAAATGCCGGTATTAACGTCAAATGGTCGGATAGCATCTTAGATTCACTCTCTTACAAACCGGAGGAACCCACGATATTCTACGTTATATCAAGAGTAAAGAAACAACACATTGCCACTTATAAGTCGGCTCCATGCTTTGCGTAAGGGTTTAAATATGTTTATTTAAATTAATTTTGCAATTTTTCTTATAATAACCTTTTAAATAAATTAGATTTCATCATATTAACGCTTTTGAAGATGATGATGATAATTTATATTTGGATATAGTATGCTATGATAATACGGACATATGTTATGATTTATCACTGGAAAATTTAAGAAATGGATTAGTTGTTGAACTTCCTTTAGCTGAAGTTCGTAGATTCGTTTTACAAAATATTCAAATTGAATCAGTAAAGTTTTCAAAAATGCCACAAACTACACAACTTGAAACTCTACAAAATACTGTAGTTAGTTTATTCAGGAATGTTTCATATCAATCGATCCATCCTTGGCCTATTGCGAATTACGTTCGTTGTGCAGATTCTACTTTAGAACTACCAAGGTCAGTAATTTCAAAGTCTTATTTTCCTAAACGTTTAATAAATTAACGTTTATCAAAAAATGTTATTATAAATTTTTAGAATCAATCCTAAATTTCATGGTCTAAGATATCGTTACGTTTACGGAATTGGTCTTTCAGCAAAAGCTGCTACTCAAGAAGGTCAGATATGGGATGCACTTATAAAATGTGTAAGTAGCTTTATATAAAATTACTATGTATTAGTTTTTTGCATTTATTATATTAAGATTTCACTATCATATAGGATTTGGATACTAAAGAGGTTGTTGCTATGTGGGTAGTTGAAAATTGCTATCCTTCTGAGCCTGTTTTTATATCAGCTCCCGGTAATGATAATAATGAAGATGATGGTATACTATTAAGTGTTATATTTGATGGTCATAATATCAAGAGTTATTTAGTGGTACTTGATGCGAAAACCTTATTGGAATTAGCTCGTATTGATTTACCACAAGTGATACCATTATCTTTCGGACATGGCTCTTTTAAGCAATAATTCAAGCAATAATTTATTTATTTATTTATTTTTTTAAAAAAAAAATTAAATTTATTTTAAACTTCGATTTCTTTTTTAAAGTCTTAATAATGATGATGGCTGACATACTGTATATTAGCTAATATTGGGTGGGATTATAATAACTTTTTATTAATGATTCAATACATTCGAAGAAACTTATTTAATATTTTACCTTAAAAGTAGAACATTTTTGTGAAACATTATAATTCACATCAAATTTCCGCTATAGATTTTCCAAAAAAAACTGACAAATTGCTCTTCTTGTTATATATCGGCATTTCGACCTTCGCCGAGAAAATCGTAAAATTGTGGCTTTGCCACGTGCCATGATTTGCGTAATATCATGCTTTCGATACAAAATCATTAAGCAACAATTTTTTCAAATATTTGACGGACTGGAATATTATAAAAATGAAATATAATGGTAAGGCACTACCTCCCTCTTTGATAGCATCATAAATTTCACTCGCTTCTCTAACATTTTGCTCAATTCTGAAGCCAATAAAATTTCGGTTTATTATTTTTATAATAAAAAAAAAAATAAGTCATAATGTGCATTGGACAATATAATCAGATATTTTATAAATAAGATATTTCACAATGACCCGAATTTTATAATCATAGATCAGCTAATATTAATAAGCTTCGGACTTATAAAACGCGTACTCATAATAATCAAGATTTGATAAATTTTATTCAGATTTTAGACGCGCTCGTGTAGCTTAATAATATCAAACATCATTTTCGTTTTTCCCAAACTAATAAGTCAATAACCATGTCAACTATTTTCGAAGTTATCGATAGCCTTCCTCTTCCAAAAGAAGAAACGAATAAACTACAAACTTATCTTATTAAACATAACCAGGAGAGAGAGATATTACATTCTGCACTCATGAGTCCCTTAAAAACAGACGAAGCTAAACTTGAGTTATTAAAAGAATTTTTGAAGACTCTGTCTGCTGGTATGTGCTTAAATAAAATATTTATTGTGAATTTGTGATGACTAACTTTGCCTTTTTTGGTCTCCTAACCCAATTTAGATGAACATCAAGGTAAGCCTTTGCGTCGTAATGATTGGTCAACTCAAACGTGACGCGCTAACCTTTTATATCATTTTTGAATCGTTATTTTTATACAGACGAAGACGCAAAAAGATTTTGGAATGCCCTAAAGGACAAAAATGTTGAATGTGGAGACTTTCTCCAACTGCCTGAGGGCATCAATTTTTTAGGTGATAAAGACGAAACTTCAATTATTTACATTCGTAAATGCTACCGCAATTTGGCAAATATCGCATTTGATAAGAAAACGAAAAAAAGATTACGTATCAGCGGTAATCCGGGTATCGGAAAGACGCTATTCGGCTACTATTTACTTTATTTACTTTCGCAAAAAAATATAGTAACTATATACGATTCCCATGCTTCGAAAACTGTGCTTATCTTTGACAAGGATAGCGTCTTTCGTACTTCCCGCATA